CTGAGCAAGACCTTGTCTGAAAGCAAAAAACAGAAGGGACTGGGGCTGTAGCTTAGTGATAGAGTGCCCCAGGTTCAATTCTGAGTGCTGCAAACAAAACAAAACAAAAACCTGCATTGTTTCCCATTTCCTGGTTTCTTATCTGTACAGCAGATACATAGAAATATTTCTTATTTTTTTTTTTACTGTTTTATTGGCTCAACTTTAAAACCTGTATTTTGTTTAGTGTTCTATTACATGAATAATTTATTAACTTAAGTTCAGTAATACATAAAGTAAAATCACCAGAAAATGCCAATTCTGTTATGGGTAAACTTGGGGAAGTTTTATAACTTCTGAGSTTCAGTTTCAATGCTCTGGGTGTAACAACAGTATCTACTAGGTATGTTGTGAGGATTAAAATGTTTATGTAAAGTAGGGCTTTGCTCAGTACCTGGTTTCTGTTATTRATCATAAGTGCTATATTAACCCATTTAATTTAATTGCAGTTTCTGATACATATACTGTAAAGCACAAGATACATAATTGATGGTCATATTGAATGCTAGGTGTTATTATGGTCTCTTAATGTGAATTCATAGTAACATCTTAAATGAAAAAGRTTTTTAAAATAAAAGTGCAGCAATTAAATTAAAATCATAGTGCTATGAAGATGGTGATTAGTAATTTGGAAATAATAAATTTGTTATCTAAATCATCCTTAGAAAAGTCACTGGTACATTCTGAATTGCTGAGTTCCTGTGCTGGGTTTCGTAGGTGTGCCAGACATAACTGATTTTGTTGCTCCCTCTTGCCAGGCTGTCTTCAGATGTCACACAGCAGTCTTCATTTGCTGCCTACTGGTTGCTCCTTTTTAGCACCTTCTTTTCATCAGTATTTTAATATTAGTGTTTCCTAAAATGTGGTTCTTGGTTCTTTTCTATTGGTCTGTAATCACTGCTTTGGCGATTTTGTTTGTCTTCTGCATGCTGGGGGCAGAGCTCAGGCCTTGAGCTTACTAGGAAATGCTCTCCCAGTAAGCTACATCCCCAGACCACACTTTTCATGAYGTTATCCATTTTGTAGCTTTAAATACTACCCATATGCTGACAAATTCACAAATTTATGGAATTTTCAGCTGAAGGATAATTTGTACTGAATTTAACAAATTGAAAGCTGTGTCTGGCCCATCTACATACACAGTTTGATAATAAAGACTTGGGTGATAAGTTTTTTTTTTTTCTAGAGCCTTTTTTTTTTTTTTTTTTTAAGGAGCTGAGATTTTTTATTCCAGATACTGGTTTTCCAGCAGTCAGTCTGATGGTGGTCACTCATCTCATAGAGGTCCTTTTAACCCTTGCTGCTGTCTAACTGGAAATCCAGTAGATCTACTAAAGTAGACTTTTAGTTCTTGGCATTTTTTATTCTGATCCTTGAATGTTTTCTGATGGATGGTTTTGTTTTGTTTTAGTAGGGCCATGACTTCTAAATATTCTCATCACTTCAGTACAGTTGGAAGTTTGGAAAGGGCAAATAATATTAATTTTCTTTTTGCTTTGAAAGTTTGAAGTCTTTTCCTGAGGTATTTTTATTCTTTTAAGGTTTTCTTTATCTCACATTTTTAGCATCACATTTTAAGCAATTACAGTTGAAATCCTATACACAGAAACCACTTATTGCCTAGGGTTTATGTGATACTGCATAGCAAAGGAAGGGCGCTGGCTACAAGGCTTCCAAGCAAGGCCTGCTGAACTGAATCTGCCCAGGGTGGATCTCACTGTTAGCTGTATATATTGAAAACCGTGCTGTGGGACTGCAAATTGGTGCAGCCAATATGGAAAGCAATATAGAGATTTCTTGGAAAATTGGGAATGGAACCACCATTTGACCCAGCTATCCCTCTCCTTGGTYTATACCCAAAGGATTTAAAAACAGAATACTACAGGGACACAGCCACACTAGTGTTTATTTATAGCAGCACAACTCACAATAGCTAAACTGTGGAACCAACCTAGATGCCCTTCAGTAGATGAATGGATTAATAAAAATGTGGCATATATACACAATGGAGTATTACTCAGCAATAAAAGAGAATAAAATCATGGCATTTGAAGGTAATGGATGGAGTTAGAGAAGATAATGCTAATTGAAGTTAGCCAATCCCAAAAAAAACAAATGCCAAATGTTTTCTTTGATATAAGGAGGCTGATTCATAGTGGGATAGGGAGAGGGAGCATGGGAGGAATAGACAAACTCTAGATAGGGCAGAGGGGTTGGAGGAGAATGGAGTGGGCATGGGGTCAAAGAATATATCACAGGAATTTTGGCACATTAATTGAACATAAATTTTCTCTAATTTTTTTCTACATTCAAATAAATTAAGTTCAGATAATGCTTTCCATCTTTAAATAAAATATTTTAATTAAAAAATGAAAACTGAAAGATTTTGCTTCTTTAAAAATAAAGTCTAAGTAGAATAAATGTGAATTGTAAAAATTAATAAACAAAATGTCTCAAGTAAAAATTAAATTTATAGTCGGGTTTGGTGGTACATGTCTGTAATCCCAGCAGCTCAGAGGCTGAGGCAGGAGGATTGTGGGTTCAAAGCCAGCCTCAGCAAAGGCTAGGCGCTAARCAACTCAATGAGACCCTGTCTCTAAATAAAATACAAAATAGGGCTGGGGATGTGTCTCAGTGGTCGAGTGCCTCTGAATTCAATTCCTGGTAGCTGCCCACTCCCAAATTTATAATTGTATGTGCCATCGCCTGTATTATTATCCTAATACCTAAAGTGAATACTACATTCATAATACACAATTGAAATAGTGTTTGATCTTTAAAAAATGGTTTAGAAAACAAAATGAGCAGTTAACTCTAATATTCCAGCTGATGAAACAAGTTCTCTGACTCTACATCAGTGGGGATATTATGGGAAAATATTAACTATTTCAAATTTTTCTTGGTTAGTTAATCTTCACATAATCCCATCTCTTTGAGATGTGGGGGAAAGAAGAATTCAGTCTCTTATTAATGTCAAGCTGAAGTGTTGTTTCAAAGAAAGTTTTCCTTCGTCTTCATTATATGCAAGAGAAGATTTTATTTATAATAGAGTTACTTACTTTTATTATTTTAATATTAATTGTTCATAGTTCATTTCTAGAAAGTCTTCGAGGAATATTTATACTTGCAATAGAAGATTTTTGCCTTGTTAATTTAAGTTTTTCTTCCTGTGGAGGTTAATAGAGGGTGTACCTTTCTTTGATTTGAAATTGTAATACAGAATATAAATTTGGATACATTTATAATATAAATAACTGAAATTTTACATTTAAACTTACTAAAATAGTATAATTATACCAGTAAAGATCTGTTGAGTTGGGTGTGGTGATGTACACCTGTAATCCCAGTGACTCAGGAGGCTGAAACAGGAGGATCACAAGTTTAAGGCCAGCAATCCGCAATTTAGCTAGGCCCTAAGTAACTCAATAAGACCCTGTCTTAAAATTTAAAAAATTGCTGAGAATGTAACCTAGTGGTAAAGCACCTCTGGGTTCAGTCCCCAGTAGACACCTCCCACCCCCCAACTCCTACCCTCACACCACACACATACCAGGTCGATATTTTGGCACTTAAAAATAGCCCAGTGTGCTCAATGCTGGAATCCTCCAATGGTCTTGTCCTGGGGAGGCGGGAATTGTCTAGCACCAGGAGGGAGAGTGGCTCTCAAAATGTGAATTTAATAATCCTGATTTGACTGGAAATTGGATATTTATTTTAAGTGTATTTTTTTTTCATTTCAGGAAAATCAAGATTATTCTGTGTCTGCATAAAATATCAATAGGATATAAATGATTTTATTATGATTAAAAATGATAATAGTTTTAGCACTTTTTTCTTTGTTATTACATTATATTTTCATAAAGTATTGGCATTTTTTAGTGAATGAAAATTAAAAATATGAAATGTAATGTAGTAATAAACATAGTGTGTGGAACTCTTCTAGAATTAGTAAATTAAAATCTCAAATTACCTTTCTGAATTTTACAGGTAGCAGTCCCCACATTTCTTCCTATCCTGGTCCCCCAAAGTTTTGTTTTCTTTGCTATTTTGTCTCCTGCAATCCTCCAGCTTCCTCCTTTACCCCACTAAGCTCCCATTATTTCTTTGAAAATTGAGCTTAGGGGTGTGAGTTGAATAGAGTAGACCTCTAAGATTTAGGTCTCATTCTACTGCTGCCTGTTTCCTGGGGGTGTGACCTTGGGCATATTAGTCACTTAATTTTTCTGAGCCTTAGTTTCTTTTATCTCTAAAAACGAGGATTTTTTTTCCTCCTGCCCATTTCAGAGTTATTTGGGGATAAGATAACGTATGAAGTAGTGTTTTAAAAATACCATTACCTCCTTAAGCACATCCACTGGGTAACCTGGGCCTTTTACTCTTTCACCTTTTTCATGCTCACCAAGTTACACGTATGTGCATTTTCCTATTTTGATGATTTAATGCATGCTCAATGTAAAATGTCTAGAAAAACAAAGAAAATAGAAATTCAGATAGCATATCATCCTTTTCTCTTGTTTTTAGCAGAAATTAATTTTGAGACTAAGCTCCCCAAAGTAAAGATACTATCTTACTATTTTTGGATTTTCTGTTCTTAGTGTATAGTAGGCCTCAAATTAATGTTTTTTAAATGAGTGAAAACTTGATGCAATTGTTCTTCTTTTTCTTTCAATTACAATCCCTTCAAACCCCCTACCCATCGCAGTAATTGGGCATCAAGCCCAAGGCCTTGTGCATGGTGGCAAGTGCCCTGCCACTGTGCTACTCCCCAACCCCTTAATCTTGGATATTCTCTGGCAGAGGCTAGAAAAACAGCTAACGGTTGGATATGGAGCTTTTGGGCAGTATATCTAAGTGGGTTGCCATTTATTTGTTGAGGACAATAAAATTCAAAGATTTTTTTTTTCAATGCTTGGAAATTATAAAAACTGTCCTTTTACTCTTTTTATTTATTTTTTTAACAGGATGGCTTAAATTCCTTGGTCCTTGATTTGGATTTTCCTGCTTTGAGGAAAAATAAGAATATAGATAATTTCTTAAATAGATGTAAGTGTTTATTACATATCTGTATTTTTGATGGGATTTGTGTTTCATTAATATTTTAGCCCATAAATTTATTAACTTRGTTAACCTGGGAACTCATTAACTTATTAAATTTTTTCTTAATTTACCATTTATTCTATTTAAAAGTAAGTACTCTTTGTTTTCAGAACAAAACTGTAGAACTAAATTGCAATATGTAATAAGTTCAAAATTTTGTATGTGTTAAGACTCTATTGTAGGACATGTTCCAAGAGAAGTTTTAAGATAAATTTCCAACTCGATAAGATTTTGATTTAAATTACACAGAAGGCTTAATAAGCTTTTTGTTTCTATAAATTTGGATATTTTGGTCTAATTAAGGAAAAATAATATAATGACATTTATTACCATATATGTAGTAACCCTTGATATTTGCCAATATTGATGTTGTGGTGAAGAAGTAAGTGAACTTGAATTCTTAGAATAAGAAATTCTCAATGATTGATACATACTTGATATCACTATAGTAAATTCTTTAATTTGGAATTGTTAGACACTGGGCTATTTCCCTAATTAAATAATCTGGTCTCTAGTTACTGTTTTTATAGTATGATCACTACATTTTAATGAAATAGGCTATCATAATTCAACAGAAAGATTTGAAAATTAGAAATTAATTTTGGCATTAAAAATATTTGTTTAATGAATTGAGATGCATTTAAATATATGGAAAATTCTACAAAGAAATTTTAATAACTGAAAATAATCATCTTTATAGGTCAAAGTGGTATCTACTGGAATGTTGACAGTAAATATTATATTTACATTCAATGAGGAACTAGAATATTCCTATTTTCATCACTGGAGTGTCTAAGATTAGCCTTGCTAAGTAATCATGAGGCAATTTTCTGCCAGGATTTATAATGTGCACCAGGAGTGGTGGGGTTATCACTGTGTCAGCTGAATCAAACTTGCCAATCAACAGAGTTAGAAACAGAATAGCTTTTAACTATTGCTTTTTGGCATTTGATAGTGCTCATATGTATGTTTACAAACCATAGAGAGTTTTGGTTCTTTGATATACAGATGGATAATGTACATCTTAGTTTTTTTTTAAACAGAAGTTTGTAAACACCAAACAAGTTTAGCCAAAAACTAAGTCCAGCTTCTTGAAATAAAAATTTGTTTACAAATATGGTGATTATTTTAAAATACTGCTAATKAATATGATGATTAATATTATAAATATGGTGATTCTTTTTATTGTAGATGAGAAAATTGTGAAAAAAATCAGAGGTCTACAGATGAAAGCAGAAGATTATGATGTTGTAAAAGTTATTGGAAGAGGAGCATTTGGGGAAGTCCAGTTGGTAAGAAAGTATTTGTTTTGTTCTCATTTTTTTTGACATACGGGTTTGTGAAACATTATCAGTAGTAGTKGAATAGTTCTAATTTCTATGTCCCAGCATGATGGGAGTAAATTTTATGACTTAGGTCAAGTCACTCTGTATCTCTGAGAACCTCAGTAACCTCATCTGTAACAGGAGCCAGTTGTTTTATTAATACTGGCTCTCTTCTAGCTCTGAAAAACTGTGATTTGGAATAACGTCAGCATGGCTTCACATATGAACTGCCTAACAGTTAATATTCTACCAGATCAACTGTTTTTATTAAGAATCTTGAAATTAACAACATTTCTGTTTAATGAATTGAGATTTATTTAAATATACAAGAAATCCAACAAAGAAATTTTAATAACTCAAAGTAAATCTAAAATGTATCTTTATAGACCAAAGTGGTACCAACTAAAAGTATTATAAATGTTGAAAATAAATACAGCATTATGGTATTAAATGAGGAACTATAATAATATTCCTATTTCTATCATGTAAGCATCTGAGACTAATTTTTGTCCTTATAGTTAAGTTAGAGKCAAATTCTGTTCCTTGAATACAAGTGTTTTACTCCTGTTGATGGAACACTGAGAAGAGAATGATTGTAAATCAGCATGGGTTTCTAGAAGAACAGGTTATGATAGACTAACCTTTTTCTTTTTCCTCTGTTTCATTGTTAGGCTCATTGGACTTATAGTTTAGGGTACTTCCATAAATATGAAGAAGTCTGACCTAACTTGATGGTGTTGCAGAGAAGTGTCAACTGAATGCCTGAGAAGGCAGCATTATAACTCATTTAATAGTTATATTTTTAGGAGGCTGATGAAAGCATGGATGGATGGTACTTTGGACAGAGATTCTTAAGGGGTTTCAGGGTGTTAATGATTTTGGGGGGCTATGATTGCATATTGAATGATTTTGCAAAACCGAAGTGTATTGTGAATGATTTTAGATGATGAGCCCAAATCCAGAAGAAATGAAATTTAACCAGAATAAATGTACTTGGATCTGAAGAACATTAGGAATTCATTATTTAACAATTTTGAATTAGTCTATAAGCTATGCAAGAGTCACTAGTGATGAGGTTGCCCCAGATAGYTTTTAAAAAAATTTGGGCTGGGCTGGGGTTGTGGCTCAGTGGTAAAGTGCTTGCCTAGCATGCATGAGGTACTGGGTTTGATTCTCAGCACCACATACAAATAAATAAAATAAAGGTCCATTAACAACTAAAAAAAATATTTAAAAAATTTTKGGGCTGCTTTAATGTAATATCTAAGAAATTTTGTTTGATATGATTATATTATTTCCAGAAAAGKTAATTCATTCTAGCTTCTTTGTTTTTGTTTTTTCTTGCTTACTAAAAWCTATTTTTGTGTGTCCAGGAATTAAACCCCAGGGGCACTTAACAACCCTGAGCCACATCTCCAGCCTTTTTTTCTATTTCATTTAGAAACAGGGTCTTGCTGAGTTGCTTAGAGTCTCACTAGGTTGCTAAGGCTGGCTTTGAACTCGAGATCCTCTTGTATCAGCCTCCTGAGCTGCTGGGATTACAGGCATGTGCCACTGCACCTTGCTTTTAAAAACTTTTTAAAGAGCAGTTTTAGGTTCACAACAGTACTGTTTGGGTTTCATAATTYCCATTTCACATTGTACATGCTAGTGAATATAACTTATTTTTGAGTGTTGTCTTTGTGTCTTGTTATTTTGCTTAATTTAGTCTAACAGGTCTTTTTGGTGAAATCTTCTAGATTTTCTATGCGTAAGGGCATACAAAGACATTTAGATAGAGACTTTCATTCATTTATTTCTTCCTTCCTTCCTTTCTTTTTTTTCTGATTGCTCTGACTATAACTTTGTTGAATAAAAGTGGCTCAAGTAGACTTCTTTGCCTTGTCTCTGGATTTAGAGGAAAAGCTTTAGATTTTCATTCATGTGTGTGATGTTTGCTGTTGATATTTCACMCATGAAATTTATTATATTAAGATAGTTTTTTTCTATTCTGGTTTGTTGAGTGTTCTTTTTAATAATGAAAGGATGATGAATATTGTTAAATGCTTTGTTATGTTTATTTTTTTAGTTGTAGATGAACACAGTACCTTTATTTTATTTATTTATACATGGTACTGAGATTGAACCCAGGTTCTCGAATGTGCTAGGCGAGCACTCTACCGCTGAGCCACAACCCCAGCCCCAGTTAAATGCTTTTTCTCCCTCAGGATAATGTGTTTCTTCCCTGTGTTCTATTAATATTGTATGTTAACATCAATTGCTTTTCACTTGTTTAGCTATCTTTGCATTCCAGGAATAAATCCCATTTGGGAGTGGTATATCTTTTAATATACTACTGAGTTACATTAGCTAATAATCTGTTGAGAATTTTGGGTCAGTTTCCATAAGGAGTATTGGTTTGGAATTTTCTTTTCATCTAGTGTCTTTATATTTGATATCGGAGTAAGATGAGTTAGAAAATGTTCCTTTTCAGTTTTTTTTTGGAAAAGTTTRAGAACAGAGAACACTCAGAAATGAAAGTGGAGACATTACTGCTGATTCTAAGAGCAACAAATTGGGTAACCTAAATAAAATAGACAAGTTCCTAGACACAAARCCCTCCAAGACTAAATCACAAAAGAATAGAAAATTGAAATAGATCTTTATAAATTAGGGGGATTGAGTCAGTAATTTTCCCAACAAAGAAGAGCCCTGGACCTAATGRCTTAATTGGAGACTTCTACCAAACTGTCAATCTATTTGTGTCTTTGGATCGAAAGAGAGTCTCTTATAGACAGAATATAGGTAGATCAAACATATGTGTTTATATGGTCAGAGCAGAGATTTCTTGTTTAGCAGGGTTCTTTTTTGCCTACCCTGGCTCCCCTATACTTGGTATAGATTCTTCTGGAAACCTAGCTACCAAGGGGTTGGGGACTACAGATAGGTACCTGCTACTGTGCCAAGAGCTGAAATTTATCCAAACTAATCATCACTTATAGTTCAAGCCTTCCCATTCATGATGCAAGCCAGATTCATTGTTTTTGTATCAGTAAAGTATTCTTTCTCTTCTCAGCTTCTTTCAAGAATATTTATATTTGCATTTTATAGTTTGAAAATGATTTGCCTAAATATAGTGTTGTTGCTGCTGCTGCTGTTCATGTATCCTGCTTGGATATTTGAGCTTTCTGTATCTGTGATTTTGTGTGCCAATCACAGATAATTACTTTGGAAAATTTCCAGTCATTATTGTTTCAAATATTTCTTCTGTTGTTTTTCCTCTTTATCTTCTTATATTCCCATTATGCATATATTATATCTTTTGCAGTTGTCCTATAAATGCCTGTGTTCTGATTTTGTTTTTGTTTTTTTTTGTTTTTTTTTTTTTTTAGTCTTCCCTGTTTCCTTTCAGTTTTAGAGGTATATATTGAGGTATCCTAAAACTCAAGCAGTTACTCATCTATACCCAAAATCTTCTAATAAACCTATCAAAGGCATTCTTTATTTATTTTTCATACTTAATTTTTTTCCTGTCTTGCATTTCAATTAATTAATTAATTTTAATTAGGTATATATGATAGCAGAGTGCATCAAAATTGTACACAATTGCAGCACAACTTTTCATTTCTCTGGTTCTACACAATATAGTGTTGCACCATATGAGCAGTCATGCATTTACCTAGGGTAATGATGTCCATGTCATTCCACCATCTTTCCTGCCCCCATGCCCCTTTCCCATCCTTCCCTCCCCTTTGCCCCATCAAAGTTCTTCCATTTTTCCCATGTCCCCTCGCCCCCCCCCCCCATTATGGATCAGCATMCACTTAAGAGAGAACATTCGGCCTTTGGTTTTGCGAATTGGCTTACTTCACTTAGCTTGATATTCTCCAACTCCATCCATTTACCTGAAAATGCCATAATTTTATTCTCTTTTAATGCTGAGTAATATTCCATTGTGTTTATATACCACAGTTTCTTTATCCATTCATCTATTGAAGGGTATCTAGGTTGCTTCCACAGTTTACCTATTGTGAATTGAGCTGCTATAAACATTGATGTGGCTGCATTACTATAGGATGCTGATTTTAAGTCCTTTGGGTATAGACCAAGGAGTGGGATAGCTGGGTCCAATGGTGGTTCAATTCCAAGTTTTTTGAGGAATCTCCATACTGTTTTCCAGATTGGTTGCACCAATTTGCAGTCCCACCAGCAAAGTATGAGTGTGACTTTTCCCTCACATCCTCATCCAACATTTATTGTTTCTGTGTTCTTGATAACTGCCATTCTGACTGGTGTGAGATGAAATCTTAGAGTGGTTTTGATTTTCATTTCTCTGATTACTACAGATATTGAACATTTTTTCATATATTTATTGATTGAATGTATATCTTCTGAGAAGTGTCTTTTCAGTTCCTTAGCCCATTTATTGATTGAATTTTTAAAAAAGTGTTCTATGACATGTGTGTGGCAAATTTTCCTCCCAAAATGTGGGCTCTCTCTTTACCTCACTGATTATTGTCTTTTGCTAAGAAGAAGCTTTTTAGTTTCAGTCCATCCCATTTATTAATTCTTGATTTTATTTCTGTGCTTTAGGAATCTTGTTAAGGAAGTCAGGGCCTAATCCAACATGATGAAGATTTGGGCCTACTTTTTTCTCTGTTAGGCTCAGGGTCTCTGGTCTAATTTCTAGGTCCTTGATTCACTTTGAGTTGAGTTTTGTACATTATGAGATACAGGGGTCCATTTTAACTTTGCTGCATATGGATTTCCAGTTCTCCCTGCATCATTTTTTGAAGAGGCTGTCTTTACTTCAATGTATGTTTTTGGCACCTTTTATTCATGTGGTTTTATCTCTGTGTCTTCTATTCTGTACCATTGGTCTACATGTCTATTTTGGCCTTTATTTATTTTAAAATATTTTTGATCTCTAGGATGTCATTTTAGTTTCTCTTTGCTTGCATTAGCCCTCTATTCTTGAATGATGCCTA